ACTTGCCACAGCCCTCTCACACTTTCTTTTCTACTGCTCGAACAGACCAAAGATTTGTCTGGCTAAAGACCTTCGTGCTTACTGTTTCTTGTGTGTGGAATGCTATTTGCTCAGATCTTCAGATGGGCAACTCTTGTCATTCATGCTGCAGCTCAAATATCCTTCTCAAAAAAGGTTTCCCCTGACACTTTACCTAATGTTGCCCCCTAGTCACTATTACATCCTTCTGTTTTATTTTCAGATTTTATTTTCACAACCTAAAATAATCTTTCTTTCTTTTGTCTACTTGTTTCTTTCTTTCTTCCTCCTTTAGAATGACTCCATGAGAACAGGAAGCATGTCTTCCCTGCTTGGCACATAGTACGCTCTCAATAATTGGAGGAAAAAAACCATAGATTTTCTACAACAATCATTTTAGCTCCTAAATAAACTTATCAAGTTTGGTGAACTCTCCCAAGGTTGCCTCAGAACTAACAAATTAAAATGGAGATGTTTAATCATTCCACTCAAAAGTTGCTTAACACCCTCATTTAACACAGTCAAAAAATTTTAACTTTTTTTTCCCTTGAGTTTTATAACCTATTCCATCTATCAGTTGCCAATACAGCTGTGGAATAAAAAGTCCTAAAACCTCTCAAAACAGCCTTCCAGGAGGTTAGTTTCTTTAGCCTTCCTTCTCAATAACTTTGAGGCTATCCCTAAGGAAACTTTTTGTCAGTTTTTAGGTAAGGAGTCTGCTGGGAATGCAGTGCTACAGGAAACTAATTCTTGAACAGGGCAGATTGGTCACAGGGCCAGTATATTTTAATATATTTATTCTGTAAATCGGCTTTTTAAAGTAAATAATGAAACAAAGTAAGCTCTCAGAAATGAAACATTGTTATACATATTTATTATGCTACTACAGGAGAAATATTTCAAGAAAAATAAGGCTAAAAATTGTTGGAGATAATACCTTCAAGGCATTTTCTACCATCTTAGCTGGTAATCTGAAATGTCCAAAGAATTTTTAACATTTTAAAATGCATTTTTAGGCAGGGCGCAGGGGATCACACCTGTAATCTGGGAGGCAGAAGTGGGATGATCATATGAGGTCAGGCATTACAGACCAGCCTGGGCAACACAGTGAGACCCTGTCTTTACACAAAATTAAAAAAAAATATATCAGTCAGGCATAGTGGTGCATGCCTGTAGTCCTAGCTACTAGGGAGGCTGGGGTGGGGGGGATCATTTGAGCCCAGGCATTTGAGGCTACAGTGAGCTATGATCATGATTGCTCCGTGCTATGATCATGATTGCTCCATCCTGAGTCACAGAGCAAGATTCTGTCTCAGAATATTTTTAAATGGTTTAATTATTGTTTCCTGGTAGGAAACAATACAAAGGTAAGATTCTCCTTCACTGCACATGCCAAATCAACAAGACCCAAATCTAAGCATTATTAATAGATCCTGTTTTACTTACAGGGTATATAAGCAGACAGAGTCATGAAATGGTCAATTTACATACAAGCAGTTAGAGCTATACCCACAATATTAAAAAGAAAATCAATCCTATACAAAATTTCTCTGGTCTGTTACAATATGCATTTTTTTTTTTTTTTATTCTTTGAGATGGAGTCTGGCTCTGTCACCCAGGATGGGGTGCACTAGCACGATCTCCACTCACTGCAACTTCCGCCTCCCGAGTTCAAGCGATTCTACTGCCTCAGCTTCCTGAGTAGCTGGGATTACAGGTGTGCACCGCCACACTCGGTTAATTTTTGTATTTTTAATAGAGATGGGGTTTTACCACGTTGACTAGGCTGGTCTCGAACTCCTGACCTCAAGTGATCCACCCGCCTTGGCCTCCCAAAGTGCTGGCATTACAGGTGTGAGCCACCACCCCTGGCCAACAACACGAATTCTTAAAAAAAAAAAAAAAAAAAAAAAAGTACTGCCCCCTAATAGCATTTCACCCAAGAAGAGTTTATGTAAAACATTTATACAGCCCATAAAAGCACAAACCAGATGAAGATAATGTGCCTGTGGCTACTGTTCAGGTATTTTTAGTGACTGAGTCCATTACCTATTATCATAAATCTCACCATGAACTCGTTTTTCCTAAGGAGTCTGAAATACAGCATTTCAATAGGCAGTACTCAACCTGACAACTGGTTTAAATGCTAAAAATGCATTTATAGATTTGTTGTTTTGCACTTCTAGGTACGATTTCTTATAGAACGACTGCAGAAGAAATTCAGGCTATGTGACCTAAAATACAGTTGAATGAGTACTTACTACCTTTCTGTTCTTACTTTTCATGAAGAAGACAGGTATCCTAATGCCCTGTAGAGAAGGAATTTCTGAAACGTGAAGGACTGTGTTTTACCCTCAAAGAGGCACTTCTGCACCTTCTTTATCCTTATTAGTTGTTCCTAAAACCTAAGATACAGGTATGGCAACTATAATCACTGTGAGAATACATGTACATATATAACCCGGGAATCAAGCAAAACAAAACACCAATTGTCCTCTCTGAAGATCAATACCCTTGAAAAGTTCCCACAATTCAAGTTTATACTTTTAGTTATTTTCCTGAGGGACATGAAAATAACTGGAACAAAACAAAATAACAGTCTGAATTATATGAACTGTATAAAGGAATTCAGCACAAAGCCTGGAAGCAGAATGCTTATGATCTGGTATGATTCACACCCCCTCTTTTCTACTTATAGAATGGCAGAGATCATAAAGCAAAACCATTGTAAATTTAACTCAGAATATAAAGAGCAATGTCAAATGTCCCAAGTCTATAGTTTAAGTGATTACAGAAAGAAATAATAGGCTTTACCAGTCACTGAATAAACAACCTGGTTTAAAACATTTTCAGATTTGTTAAAATTTAAAGGAAACTAGTCCTATTTATGGATTTAATATTCATATTAACTTTTCCAATATCACTGGAGTATCTCAAAACACTTTCAACAATAAAGATGAGATTAACTTATTTCCAAACATATGAATAGAATTTTTAAAAACCCTTTGATGTATCACTAGTACAAACATGCAATTACACTACACTTTAATTTGAGACACACAGAATGAATATGCTACCAAAGCAGCACGACATACAGCACCATGCTAATAGTAGATGACAAGCAAACCTTAAAATTAGGGATGACAGGTGTGATGTTTTTGCACAGAAGCGATAGCTGACCCAGATGGGCAGGCATGAGTGGCCTTAGAGAGAAGCAGATTGGGATGCTAATAAAAATTGTAGGGGTAAGGAAAAGAAGGACAGGAGAATTAAGCTACAAAGATGTGAAATACCTCCATTTTGCCTATGTGTTATCCACCCATCCAACCAACCAGTTATTAAAATACTTAAAAGGAACTAGACACTGCTCAAGGCTTGTTCTTACTTGGGTCAAAGGCACATACATTGTTTGGATGGTTGCATAAAAATGCAATTTGATCTCAGTACAGAAAAATCTAATTGGTACTCACTCACTGAATTCACCCTCAACCTTGGTCTCATTAGTAAGTGCTCACTGACTGAAACTTTGCAACTTTTAGGTCAGTTGGTCCTCTAGCCATACATTCAACTCTGAGAAAGTCTCTAACCTAATCAAGACCTGTTTTTAGCTTCAGTGGCCTCTCCTGCCAGATAAAACCAAAGTAACGAAATGGAATGTCTTGTGAAAAGCTGGGGAAACACACACAGGCAACTGGAATAACGGAGCCATATCCCAGATACGACTTGGAGCTATATGCTTATCTCTTGACTTCTGGATTAAGACACAGAATAATGGTGCATATATATATATATAACCTTATAATATATCTATATATCTATATATATCTCCTAGCATTAAACCAGGGACTGCTTTTAACCTTGTTCAACATAATGTTCAGTATATTTACTGCAAAAGGACACACTTTTGGAGAAAACCAATGTCGTACAGCAATGTGCAAATCACTTGATCCTATAAAGAGTCAGTTTCCTTTCTATAAAACAGAGATATTAATCATTGCCCTGCCTTACAGTGTCACTGAGAGGCTCAAATAACACAGTGAATGTGAAACTGCTGAAGTGTTTTTACTATGTAAGGTGCTCCTTTCGTGAACTTCTAAACTTTCTTCTAATAAGAGTTTTACTGTAAGGTTCTTTAGAATATCCATATACAGAAGATCTAAATTAATAGGGTTTTGGAGGTGGCGATGGAGAAAAATGACGATTGGAAGGGATACTGGGTCAGAACATAAGGTGTTGGTTCCAGAATTACAGGGAAGTCCTGATGCAAAACCAGAAGAGTTATGTGCTTACCCTTTGCAGACCCTGGCCAACTCCCTCGCTGCCCGCCCCCCTCCTACGCCCGACTGTTACTTTTAAGTGAACTACTGGGGACAAGTTGAGTGTGGGGGTGTATGGGGAGGGTCTTTCAACCCTGAAGATCAACTTCTTCCCCAATCCCTTTAACAAACACTCCTCCTTCTCTTCGGGCCTTCTTCAGTTAGCCGAAACTATTTCTGGTAAGAAAACGGCTGTTACAAAATTTCTTTTAGGCAGCGTCCTATGAGTACTCGTTCCCCCACAATGAACTATTTCTAACAGACAGATTCAGAGTCAGCAAATCGTGTTATGTATATGTTTTGTTTCTTCCAAGGCTCACCCACAAGCCTCACCCTCCCAGCCTTAACTCTCCCATCTATAAAATGAAAAATGACGGCGCCTGTCAGCTCCATCCCACGGCCACCGAGAGGATGAATGACTGCTTAGAAGGCGACAGAAGTGGTGTCAGTTAAACACCCAGTCCACCACTGTTTATAAAGTATCATGATGAGTCCCGTTATGCCCCTCCGCTCAAGGAAACCGCCTGGTTAGAACCAACACTCTCCGTCACTGAAGAAGGCAACGCTGAAGTTGGCCGGGTGCGTATTACGCACAGAATCTGTGTCGGGGTGCGGGAACGGAGCCACCCCCGTTACAGGGCGGGGCGGGGCTCACGACATGCCTACCTGTTGTTCCGGATGCTGACCAGGACGCAAAGCACCAGCTCCAAGTAGGTGCGCAGCACTTCCAGCCAACGAGCAGAGAGCTGCAGGGCCTCGACTTCCTCCCCTCCAGTCCCGGTGTCCGCGCCACCTCCGTCTCCTGGGCCGCCGCCGCTCAGGTAGTTCTCCGCGGCGAATTCAACACGCAGCTCCCGCACGAACCAGCCGCACTTGCGCATGAGGAATTCCAGCCGAGGCTGCTCCGCGGGAGAGACGCGGAGGCAGATGCGGAGCTGGGGCCAGAGGGCCGGATAGAAGAGGCACTCACGCCAGTGCGAGCAGGAGGCCGAGGCCCGCAGCCGGTCGGGCGCCGGCAGAAAGGAGAAGATGTGCACGATCAGCTCGCTGGGCAGCGACGCAGCGCCCGCCGCCTGCCCGCACAGAGCCATCCGGCCCCGTCGCCGGGTGCCGGCTTCCGGCCGCCCCCGCAGTACCCGGAGCAGCCCCCGCAGCCGCCGCAGCTGCTGCAGCCGTCGCCGCCGCCACCGCGCCACCCGGGCGGCCCCGGCTCGGGTTCGAGCTCCCGGCGGTCGGGGCTGCGGCACTGACAAGAACAACAACATCAATGACAAGGAAGAAGGGGGCGGAACCGTCGTGGGTCTCGGCGGAACCAACTAGAGCACAAGTTGTAGAGAGGGGGAAAGGCCTCTGCGGGCGTGGCCTGCCGGAGCCAGCCTCTGTCCTCTCAAACTCTACTCACGTGCGTCCGAGGCTGGCACACTGAATAACTGCAATGCCCTCCCTCCTAAAGTTCAGTGGCCCGGAAGCCTCAAGGCATACTGTAAGGGAAAAGCAGCCCTCCCTGCTCCAGTCGGGGGAGACAGAGAAGTGGTAGGAGCTGAGCTTGACGTCACCGCAGGTGGGAGGAGTCCGGCGCGCACCAGCGCGACTTCCGGAAGAGGGGAGCGCCCGATTGCCTGTAGGGACGGGAGACGTGGCACGTGATCTCTGACGCACGCAGGCCGCGGGGCGGGGCGGCACTGGGCGGGGTGGAACCAGCACTTGGCGCCCCTTACGCTTTAGGGCTGCCGCTGCGCCCAGTCACATCCGTAAGTCGGTGAATTTTGGCGCTCCGTAGATGGAGGTGGCGGTACTCTGGCTTATTGCGAGAGGTCGTCACGCTTCTCTGTAAAACGTTTCTCAGTTTGGGCTGAGGACCCTGAGCCAAAGTGGCGGCATGCAGGGTCTTTCTCGGCCATCCCACCTGCCCAAAGTAGGGTTAAGAATTCCTGAGATTGCGCCGCTGAGAGGGAGCAGGCGGACGGGCTGGCTGACGTCGGCGGGCTGTGCGGGGAGGGGCGGCGTGGGGCGTGGCAGACGCCTCGAGTGGACCTGCCCCGTCGGTCCGACCACGAAGGTGGACTTTCGCGCACTCGCTAGTGTGTGGGGAAGCAGTGAGGACAGCGTCACCCTTTGGATTCAAAGGGAGAGAAAAAAAATTGGCAAATGGGTCTGAGATCCGCAGGTTGTTACCAGCCTCTTCTCCAGGGCTCGAGGAAGGGTCTCTGTTCCCAGGGCTGAGATTTAAGGCTCTTATTGAAGAGAAGTTCACAGTGATGACAGAGCTTTGATTTTCTTTTTCTTCTTTTCTTTTTTTTTTTTTTTTTTGCCTGTTACCCCTAACTTAGGTTGTCTAAATCATGTCCCTAACTTCACCACAGCCTACCTGCGAAGTAAACTCTGGTTGCAAAGAGTGGTGAAGTCAGAAAGGATTAAGTGACTTTATGTAATAATCGAGGGTTGCTGCTTTAGGGAGGCTGCCTCTTTATGTAATAATTGAGGGTTGCTTTAGGGAGGCTGTGATTTTGGAACAGCCTCGTTCTTTTGTGGTAAACACCAAGACTTTTTTGTTGTTGTTGTTTTAAGGGGCGGATAATTTAATAGGCAAGAAAGAAGGAAGAAGTAGGAAGGAAGAAGCTCCCCTCTACAGAGACAGACGGAGGGGGGCCTCCAAAGCCGAAAGAGGAGACCCCCCCCCGCCGCGTTCTAGATGTTCTTAACCCTTTGAGGGCAAAGCTCTCCGTTCATGTTTCTTAATGCCTTGCACATATGAGTTTGCCAACAACATGATGTTGTTTATCAGTTGTGATAGGTTACTTCTCCAAGCCCCTGTTTGCAAGAGTTTTAGGTAATTGTACCTTATTAATTTTAATGAGCACTTGGAGGGCGACCCCAGCCGTGGGTTCGGCAGGATGAAACACTACCCATTTACCAGTTTAGAGACATTTAGGTCGTTTCCAGTTATGAATACTGTGAACATTCATATGCAAGTCTTTGTGTGGACGTATGTTTTAATTTGTCTTGGTTAGATAACCTAGGAATGAAAGTGATGGGTCGTAGAGTAGTTCTGTGTATAACTTTTTGAGAAACTGGGAAACTTTTCCAAGTGGCTACATCATTTTTCATTCCCATCAGCAATGTATGAGGGTTTCCAGCTCTGACTTTTTTTTTTTGATATTCTAGAAATATACTCTAATTTGAGATTGATATTTGTTTCTTAGCATTTTGCTAGGAACAAGCTACCTTCTTGGATATCGTTAATAATTAGTCTTTAATTATTAAGAATGGTTCCTGAGTAAAATGAAAATATGTCAGTCTGCCATAAATGAAATTCATTAGTTTAGAATTTCAAACTTTCTCATTAAATGAAGTGTGATAGGAATCCTGTTTTAATAACTATTAGCTAAATAATTAGCTGTGAATCTTGCCCCGTTTCAATAATAAATCAGTGAATTCCAATGGTTGCCCAAAATTTATCTTATCAGGCCAATACATTTAGTATTAATTAAATGTATATGTGGTATGTATATTTAGCATGTTGAGTTAGATTCTTTTGACATGTATTCTATACTGCTAGAATAAAATTGACTCATATAGGGCAGAATGGAATTACATTTTGTGAAGTTATAAAATCTGAGCTATGATTCAGAGTGTGGGAGGAAGTACTGACGTTATGAAGCTCATAAGTACCTAGTAGTACTAAACTCCAGGTTCCAAAAGTGGCATATTGTCACTATAGCAACCACCATGCTTATTTGGATTTGAAACCCAGGCAACGAGTGGTGGATAGGACTATAACACTAAGGTAGATATGTGCTCTGGTAGATTGATATGCCTGCCTGTTGATAGTCAATGGTCTGTTCTGTTTTTCTTGTTACACTTATTATGATTAATTCTTTTAGAGAGAAATTAAGCATTTAATACTTTTATATTTCTTCTTTTCTAACATGTTTAGTGTTTTTCCTAGTTAAGTAATTGGGATATTAAATATGTCTTTACTATAGCTTTTTTTCCATTTTTGCTTAAGTTTGGCAACTTTCTTTGGGTTACATATAACTTTTATTGTACGGAATCACTTGCAATTTTATAATAGAAAAAAGTAACTATGACATTTTATTTTAGCTGCATCATGAAACGCTGTTCAAGGCTACCAATAAACACGAACATTGCCTAAATTCTAATATTTCTTGAAAAAATATTGTTTTCTGAGTGATTTCTGGGTTTCAAACATTGTTGACAGGTAGAGGTGACATAATACCTTTCCAGTTTTCTCTTAGCATGCACCCGTAAATTTACCTAGAGGCAGAGGAGCCTCCTGGGACAATAGATCTGGGGACCTGGTTCCTGTCACCCTTGTCTGGTGGATTGAAGTGCTTCCTAGTGGGATCATATTACAGTAAAAAGAAATGAGGGATTGAAGGGAGTTCATCTTTAGAGGGGGAAGTCTGCGATGGTGAGCTAGAGACAGAGGACCAGGTCATTGGTTTGTCAGTCTAGATGCAGCTTGTTGTTGATATCACAACTTTTTCTAACCAAGCCACTCATGAGTTGATTGTGCAAGACCTCTCTCCATAAACAGGGATTGATAATTCATGTCTCAGAGGAATCAGACAGGTGTAGTGAGAGAAGAATTGGGTCCTGTGCAACATAGGGAGATGAAAAGATTGTGTCTTACAGGGGGATGCTTTTCGCAAGTGGGAAAGTGGGCTCTGTGTTTCCAGATTTCCTAGTTTTTCAAAAGTAACTAAAATCCTCATTTTTAAAAAGGCTAAACCTTCAGGTTGCCAATTTATTTACATTAAAAATATTCTGTGGGCATAACAAAACCAGATTTAGTCTTCAGGGCACCAGATTTCAAATTCTTTACCAAAGCTCTCAAAACTGTGGGCCAAAGCCATTTTTTTGTCTCTGTAGCTAGGCCTGCTAGCTAATCCCTGCATTTTAAGTCCACTTCCAGAGCTATTTTTTTTCCCCATCCATCCCGTTTAGTTAAAAAATGAATTAAAAAGGTTTAACTTGAATGCCTCTTTTATTGCATTACTGATTTCTTCCGTTTTATTTAAGAGGATGGGTGTTTTCAGAGGTACCCTTTATTGCTTAAGTACATATTAAAAACTGAGTGTTGTGTTTAACACAGGTGATTCAACCAATAAAATTCTTTGACTTCTAGTTAAAATGAGTGATTGACTAATGATCTTTGCTGGAGTTGTGCAGCTTAGATTATAGGCAGGATCCCACAATGGGACTCACAGGACTGTTACTTAAAAGGCACAGTCTCCAAGTAGTCATTTTAATTGGGTTCCTTTGGTTGTTTAACCTAACTAGCTTAAGCACTGAGAGGATTTTCTTCCCTCCTTCCCTCTGGCCCTCTTCCTCCTCTTCCTGGAGTTTTGAGGACATCCACAGGTATCCTTTGATGCGTAGGGACTAGAATGGAAAACTAAAAGCAGGAGCTAACGTTACTGTCTTCATCTCTGAGTACCAGAGTTATTTGGAATCTTCATCAAGCTTTTCCAAGTCATACTGGCTGAGTAATCGTAAGACTTTGTCATGAAGAAATATGTTATTCATGGCTAATTACTGCAATATTCTCATTGCAAAACTTAATATTTAATCCTTTGGAAAATCTTTTTAGCCCATTAGGTGCTGAAAAGGAGAAATGATGTGAATATTTTCATATAGTAGCATTAATTGGAATGTTGTCTTGCTCTAGGCCAAAGGGGTTTCACTTGATGTGCCAACTGTAATTAGTTTTGGAGGCAGAGAAGTACTATGTTAAGAAAGATTTTGAGGTTGTCCTCATTCTACTGGAAGGGGTATCATTTGATTTGTGATGTCTGCCATAGTTGGAAAGAATTGGTGACCTGTTTAGTTAATTATTGTCTAATGTGACTATATGTTAGTATTTGTTTTCTACATTTGTTGCACAGTACATATACAATCTTTAGTGGATTGTATTCATGCTAATTCCTTATTTTGTGAATAGCAACAGATCACTTAAATAAATTTTATAAATTATTTCAAATTAGGAATTTTTTTTTTTTTTTTTTTTTTTTTGAAACGGAGTCTCGCTTTGTCACCCAGGCTGGAGTGCAGTGGCCGGATCTCAGCTCACTGCAAGCTCCGCCTCCCGGGTTTACGCCATTCTTCTGCCTCAGCCTCCCGAGTAGCTGGGACTACAGGCGCCCGCCACCTCGCCTGGCTAGTTTTTTGTATTTTTTAGTAGAGACGGGGTTTCACCATATTAGCCAGAATGGTCTCGATCTCCTGACCTCGTGATCCGCGCTTCTTGGCCTCCCAAAGTGCTGGGATTACAGGCTTGAGCCACCGCGCCCGGCCTGGAATTTTTATAAACTACAACGTATTAAGTAAATTTTGACATCTATAAGTGAATCAGCCCTTAACTGAATTCTCTGTGAATTGGTAATGAGTCCTTCATTTATATTGAATATTAAAAGGGGAGTCATACTTTCATACCACAAGGGAAATAAAGCAAATTTTTCATTCACTTGAAGGTTATGGAATTTCTTCCATAGTATTCAGTTTATGTAGGAAGATTCTCACATCTCTAAAATCTAACCCTTTAGCAAGAAATTTCTAGTAGAAATTCATTACTTTTTTTTCTTAAGAGTAATACATGACCATGGTAACAAAAAAATCT